TCTTCTGGCCTGTTCGCCATGGGTGACTATGCTGGCATTTGAAATGCAGGTGGCAGAGTTTCCAGAATCATAGCGACATGCAAGCCACCACAGTACTTACTACAAACTTACAGATGGGTGGTTACAACTATAACCCTAAATAATTTCATCATTTGACTACAAATTAATCATGTCTTGGTGGTATGGTGCCTAAGGCATTTGATTGCCAACCAGAAGGCTGGTGGTTAAAACCCACCAGCGACTCCTCAGAAGGAACATTGGACAATCTGTTTCCATAGAGATACAGCCTTGGAAACCCAAGGAAGAGTTGCTATGTGTCAAATTGATTCCATGCCAATGAGGTTTTTTTTTGTTTGTTTGTTTTGCTTTGGTTTCATAATTATAAGAAAACTAAAATATCACTATATGATACTTTCAGTTATAGAAATTATTGAGAAAATAGAGTTATCATGTTCAAATCCCCTTTTTCAACTGGCATCCCACCACCATCAATTTTTCTGGATAGATAATAGCCCTCCTACCTGGCTTTATATTTAGCCTTACTTAGAGATATTGGAAATGTTTATTTACCCCTGAGGATTACATATAAAGACTTTTCAAGAAGCTAATGGAATGCTGAGAACTCTGCTGGCATAGTCAAGGCACTCTGGTAGCATAGCCTAAAAGCACTTGACTGCTAACCAGAAGGCTGGTGGTTCAAACCCATCAGCCACTCCTTGGAAGGAAGGTTGTAGTGATACTTCTGTAGTGATACTGCCTTGGAAATCCAAGGAGGGGGTTGCTATGAGTCGGGGCAACTTGAGGGCACAAAACAACAACAACAATAAGGGAATGATAAGTCTAGGAGTTGTGTCTATTTAGGAAAGAAAAAGAGGAAATCACACTCAAAAGAGGAAAAGGAAACCAGATAAGATCTTGAAAAGCATGTAGGGAGAAAAGAAAACAGACCAGCCCAGTCTTTATCTTTTCAGGCAATCTATCCTGCTTTAACTTTTTAATGTCTGAGAGACCAAATAATGGTTTCTATCTCAGATATCCCCTGGTGTCTGTTTTGATGCTAATAAGTGTTGATTTCACAACTTCCTGCTGCCAGATATGGTTTCTCTGAATTACCCAAAGGCCAAACACCACCCTACTTTCTTCTTTTTTTCCCTCAATTTATTCTGTTGTTATCATGCCTCAACCATGGGTCACCATGGTTGGAAATAACTTTTAATAGCTGCATGAGCCAATAAATGAGTGTGTGAATAGGCTTCTTTTGAGTTTTATGGTGATTTTCAAAAGTATCATAATCAATTTTTAGGATTGGACATATTGTTGTTGTTATGTGCCGTCGAGTCGGACCCGACTCTTAGTGACCCCTCCTTGGGTTTCCGAGGCAGTATCACTATGGAAGTAGATTGCCCCATCTTCCTTCTGAGGAGTGGCTGGTGGGTTTGAACCGCCAGGCTTCTGGTTAGCAGTCAAGTGCCTTAGGCACTATGCTACCAATAGTCAGAACCCTGTCTTGTTTTTCCAGATTGCCTTTCAAAAAGCAGACCCACTGTTGTAATGCTCATGTGTCTGAAAACTATCTACTCTTGAAAAAGCCCTTGCTTTTTCAAAATCTAGCCTCATATGGTCAAACAACTGACTTTGTCTTTTGAAATTATGTGAAAGTAAAAGCCAATCTGAATGAAGTATTTTTAAAAAGTGTTTTAAAATGAAGTATTGCATAGGGTCAAGAGAGATGGACCCATATTCTATATTCCATAGCTACTACAAACCAAAACCAAAACCAAACCACTGCCAGTGAGTCAAATCCGACTCATAGTGACCCTTCCTTAGGTTTCTGAGGCAATGTCTCCGTGGAAGTAGATTGCCTAGTCAGTTATTTTTATGATACACTGAGATGCTAAATGACCCAGGTGTGACTCCTAAATTATTCTTAAGGTCACATTGTGTTTGCTAAAGGAGCCTTGGTGGCTCAGTGATTAAGTCCTCAGTTGCTAGCTGAAGGGTGGGCAGTTCGATCTCATCAGCTGCTCCTGGGGAGGGGGTAAAGGTGTGGCTGTCTAATCCCTTAAGATTACGACCTTGGAAACCCTATTGGGTAGTTCTACCTTTTCATATGGAGTTGCTGTGAATTGTAATCAACTCGATGACAATGGGTTTAGTTTTTGGTTTTAGCATGCCAAAAAAAAAAAAAACCCAAGAAAACAAACTCACTGCCTTGGAGTCCGATCCGACTCATAGTAACCCCACCATGGGTTTCTGAGGTGATATCACTTTGAAAGTAGATTGCCCAACCTTCCTTCCAAGGAGTAGCTGGTGGGTTTTAACCACCCACCTTCTGGTTGGCAGTCAAATATCTTACCAATAAATCCAAACTCATTGATACTTCTTCCTTACTAGGTCTGATCTCAAAATGTCACAATGTCAAGGACCAATGTGATGTCTTGTGGAAGGGAAAGGTGATCAAGGTCCCTGCAGAGTAAGTTATGACATAGGGCTGGAAAGTTGATATAAACCTGAGTTAGGAAAATGAAGTTCTATTGCTGGCTTTGTCAGCTGAAGATAAATTACTCTGGTGTTCCTTGAAAACACCAGAGTATGGACAAAAAGACATTAGATCAATAGCTGCATACCAGGTACCAGGAGATGCATTAATTTGCTCAAGCAATAAAACTAGGTCTGCAACAGTAGCTGCAATTGGAGTCACCACCTAGTTAAGTTTATGATAATCCACTGTCATTCTCCAAGATCTGTCTTTTTTTGCACAAGCCAAATAAGCAAATTGGATGGGGATATGGTGGGAATCACCACTCCTCCATCCTTCAAATTCTTGATGGGACAGTAATCTCTATAATTCAAGGAATACAACATTGCTTATGGTTTATTATTGTCCTAGGTAGAGCAGTTCCAATGGCTTTCATTTGGCTTTTCCTATTGTAATAGTCTTTACTCCACGTTGGTGATTCAATGTGAGATTTCTGCTGGTTGTTGACTATATCTATACCAACTATGCATTCTGAAATTGGGGAAATTACTAGGAGATGGGTTTTGGGACCCACTGGACCCACTGTAGGACAGAACTGATCTAAGACTCTGTTAGTAACCTGACCTTCATATGACCCCACTCAAACTGATGGGTGGCAATGAAGACCTGAGTCTCAGAATTAGAGCCAGTTCAGAGCCAGTGTCCAGTAATCCTCAAAAAGTCTGATTATTTCATTTTCTTTGGTGATCAGTCAGTCTTGTGAAAGGTTTTGGATCCCTTTGGGGAATGCTGAGAGAAAGGTTAAGAGTATAGATTTTTGACAGTACAGTGAGGTCCTTCTTCAAGGGCAACTGGCCTCTCCTTCATTTAAGAGTTTTGGAATGTAAACTGGATCAAGTCTGGGAGTTGATGGAGGGGCCATGACGCTCTATTCTGGCTATTCAAGTTAGACTGCTGTTCACTTGACCTAGAATTCTTCTGCTTGGACAGATCAAGTAAATATTTAGTATATTCCTCATCTCTTTCACTCCTAGGGACACCATGCATAAGTCAATTCTGTAAGTCCATGTGAGTCAGACTATTGTGATTACTGCTTTAACTCTGCTGTCCATCATGTTAATCACACCCACCTTGTCAGTTAAGTGCCACTGCTTGACCCCTACCACCTGAAATCCAACCATCCCTACTTTAGTTAGGTATCCTAATTAAGTTAGGGTAGTTTTCACTGTCAAACTCACTCACATAAAATGGCAAGCACAGCAGTCTTCAAGGATGATGGGGCTCCCTTCACAAATTTTTCCTCACTGTTGTGGTGAAAGGTATGTCTTCTGGGTACTCTGTGGGTGTGTCTGTGGGTCCAACATGACAAATTCACTCTAACATGCCAGTTTTGCTAAATCTTTGTATAGCTTCTTATATAGTATACCAAGGCAGATCTGGCACTTAAACTTGATTTAAAGTAGGCCACTGCTTCAGCAAACCAACAAAATAAACTGTGAGATCCTTTTCTAACCTCTTGAGCTGAAACATATATATTAGAAGCAACCCACACACCCGAGGAAACTCCCTTTTAACTGCTTGGCTGATAGTAGCATATCTCATCATGGAAGTAATTACATTATATCAGATTTCCTCATGGGGGATAACTACATCAAAACTGCTGAACCACTGATTCTCATGGCCACTGATTCTCATGGCCCAGCCAAGTTGACACATAACCTTAATTATCACAAAAGAATAATGGTTTTACTGGGAAGGATGGCTTAGCACATAGAGTTAGAATAATCTCTTCAGATGGTAAGAATGATTCAATGGAATTTCAGAGTCCAGTATCCCCACTTTCCTGATTGTCTGCCCATATATCCTCATGCCAAGTTTTAGGATCCCATTTCTTACCCTCAATGCCTTCACTTTAATGTCAGATACAATGTGATGTTAGCAATTCAGTTGGCCTCGTTATTCAGCCACTCTTAAAATAAGACTCTGGGTTTGGTTTTCCACAATACCAGATCTGTTACTACAAGAAATAAGTCTTTCCTTCAAGACACAAGTGACAACTTTTAGATCTCTTATACAGTGCTTGAGCTGTGACTCTGAGGCCCTGGACTCATTTCTTTCTTTCACCACTTTGTCCAATGAAGTAGGAGCAACCAACCAATTTCCTTTATACTTATCCTTCTGACAAAATTGGACAATCACCTGGAGCCTTGTTTCTTACAAATATTTGATCGATTGGAGGTGTTTGTATTGCCACCTCACACCATGGATTAGCAATGCCCTCTTTACTACTAGAGTCGTTGTCGTGTGTGTGTGTGTGTGTATGCATATGTGTGTGTGCATATGCATATAGAGAGAGAGACGGGGAGAGAGAGAGAGAGAGAGAGGAACTGAGAGAGATTTCTCTCAATAAATGGTTTGTGTAGTTGTGGAGGCTGGTTAATCCCAAATCCATAGAACAGCACTGGGCTGGAGGTTTCTCCTGAGTCACGAGGTTGCAGGGGCTGATGAATCCACAGTCAGCATGTCAGATGACAGTCTGTTGACTTCAGGGGCTGTGGAAGCTGTTAAATCCCAAAATGAGCAAGCCAAATGGCAGGCTACAGGTTAGTAGTGGTGCAGAAGCTAACAAATCTCAGAATCAGCAGGTCAGACACATGTTGCTAGCTCAAGTATTAAAAAGAAGAGGTCAGATGTTACAGGATCCAGACCAAGGGAGAGCCTTGTCAGAGTACATATATGTATGTATGTGTGTATATTTACAATTATATATATAAATATATATATAT